ACAGTACTGCTTTCTGCTTCCTACTGTAAATTGTTACTGTCCGCGCGAGAGGGGGGAGCCGAAAAAGGCACTGGTTTCCTGCGGGGGCGTGGGACGCGTAAAAATACGGGAGATTCGTGCCCCCGAGGCTATAATCCCTCGTCAATTAAGCCGAATTCACGTCCCCGGGGCCAGAATACATCGTACATTACGCCACGTTCGCGCCCCCGAGGCCACGATCCCTTATAAATTACGCCACGTTCGCGCCCCCGACGCCAGAATCCATTGTAAATTATGCAACAATTTGCGTTCCCGAAGCGACCAACCCTCGTAAATTGCGCAGCGGGCGCGCCCCCGAGGCCACGAATCCGCCCCCTGGAGGCTGCCGAAAAGGCGCCCCTCTCTCCAGAGCAGAAAAAACGAAAATGTTCTGTATTGGGATATGTGCTCCGCTGGTATTGTTTTGCCCCCCCGCCGTTTCTTGCAAATTCGGCGGTGGGCACACTCGCGCCCCCCAGGCCATGATCCCTCGTAAATTACACCACGTTCGCGCCCCCGAGGCCACGATCCATCGTACATTACACCAAATTCGCGCCCCCGAGGCCACGACCCCTAGTACATTACGCTACATGGGCGCCCCCGAGGCCACGATCCCTTGTAAATTACGCCGCAGGCGCGCCTCCGAGGCCACGCGATCCCAAGTGAATTACACCAAATTCGCGCCCCCCAGGCCACGATCCCATTACGCCACATTCGCGTCCTTGATCCCTCGTAAATTATGCTGGATGCGCACCCCCAGGCTACGAATCCACCTCGCGGAGACTGCCCAAAGGCGACACTCCTTCTCCTGAGCAGAAAAACTGCAATGTCCCCAAATACTGCCTGAAACAATCAATCCCCAGCCATTCCCAGAGCGCTTCCAATGAACAACTGGAGGAAGATGCTCTAAGAAGACAACAAAGGGTTCAACCATGATTTCAGAATCTCGATATGTTTTGCTCATCGCCAGCCTCCCTAGCATGACGTTCCCGAATGTCATCAAGACGGTGCCCAGACATCCCAATATAGCTCTGATGTATCCCATTCTGATAGAGAGGGGGCCGGCAACAGGGGGCGAAACCCTTACGGATAGACACGCACACACACACACACACACACTACACATCATACTGGGAGCCCCCCCCTGTGAGATCTACCTCAACCACCTTTTTTCGATAACGTGCTCTCCAGCCGCTGATGGGAGAGCGAGATGGCGGGAGAAGTGGAAATTCGGGAGGAGTGGGAAGGCGGGAGAGCGGGAGAGCGGGAGAGCGGGAGAGCGGGAGAGCGGGAAAGCGGGAGAGCGGGAGAGCGGGAGAGCGGGAGAGCGGGAGAGCGGGAGAGCGGGAGAGCGGGAGAGCGGGAGAGCGGGAGAGCGGGAGAGTTGGAGAGCGGGAGAGCGGGAGAGCGGGAGAGCGGGAGAGCGGGAGAGCGGGAGAGCGGGAGAGCGGGAGAGCGGGAGAGCGGGAGAGCGGGAGAGCGGGAGAGCGGGGGAGCGGGAGAGCGGGAGAGCGGGAGAGCGGGAGAGCGGGAGAGCGGGAGAGCGGGAGAGCGGGAGAGCGGGAGAGCGGGAGAGCGGCCTGCCCCCCACCCGGCACCCACTGCTCTCCCGCTCTCCCGCTCTACCGCTGTGTCCCGCTCTCCCGCTCTCCGCTCTCCCGCTCTCCCGCACATCCCGCCCTACGCGATCTCCGCTCTCCCGCTCTCCCGCTCTCCCGCTTCTCCCGCTCTCCGCATCTCCCGTTCCCCGCTCTCCCGCCTACTCCGCCTCTCCCGCTCTCCCCGCCATTTCCCGCCCTCCCGCCCCTCCCGCCTCTCCGCTCTCCCGCTCTCCCGTTCTCCGCTCTACGCTCTCCCGCTATCCTGCTGCTCCCGCTCTCCCGCTTCTCCGTCTCCCGTCTCTTCCCGCTCTCAGCCGTCCGCTCTCCCGCTCTCCCGCTCTCCCGCTCTCCCGCCCTCCCGCTCTCCCGCTCTCCCGCTCTCCCGCTCCCCCGCCCTCCCGTTCTCCCGCTCTCCCGCTCTCCCGCTCTCCCGCCCTCCCGCTCCAAGCGCGATGAGGAGGAGGAGGACGATGATGACGATGAGGAGGAGGAGGAGGAGAAGGAGGAGGAGGAGGAAGAGGGCTGCATTGGACTTTATTGGAAAATGGAGCAAGCCCCCTCGCGGCCAGCGAAAGCCTGATGCTTTGATCAAGCCTGAAGAGGATCCTCCCTCTGGGACTGCGTCTCGCGAGCCTCTCTGCTTCGCTCTCGGCGGCACCATTCCATCGCCTCCCGAGGGTCCGAGAAGCCGCGCACGCAACCCGATACATGTCAAGCGGCTCTGGGATCTCTAATCCACACTTGCCCGAAACCGGGCCAGAGCATAACTCGCCTCCTCGACTCGCAGCTTCCCCGCCCGCTGAGCTCCCCCGCCCTCCCGCTCTCCCGCCCTCCCGCTCCAGGCGCGATGAGGAAGAGGAGGAGGGGGACGACGATGATGACGACGATGAGGAGGAGGAGGAGGAGCAGTGCGTGCACGATGGACGATGAGGAGGAGGAGGAGGACGACGATGATGACGATGAGGAGGAGGAGGACGACGACGATGATGACGATGAGGAGGAGGAGGAGGACGACGACGATGACGATGAGGAGGAGGAGGGCAGCGCGGGGGAAGGGGCGGAGCCGTCAGCAGTCTGCCTGGGACTGATGGCCGGTCTGGAGGTGGTGTTGATCGTTGGATATTGAAGGCTCGATGTCGAACTATTGATCTGGTATGCTCTGGAGCCGTGTGGAATTCAAGGAGAACGAGTGTACACAGCAAGGGATTGGGAGGAAGAGCGGGATGACGACGACGCGGAGGAACGATGACGATGATGATGATGATGACGATGACGCTGACGACGACGATGATGATGGTGTTGACGATGATGGTGATGATGATGATGATGGTGACGGTGACGATGACTATGGTGATGAAGATGATGATGATAAGAACGATGACGACGACGATGATGATGATGATGACGATGACGATGATGATGGTGTTGACGATGATGGTGATGATGATGATGGTGACGGTGCCGATGACTATGGTGATGAAGATGATGATGATAAGAACGATGACGACGACGATGATGATGATGATGGCGATGACGATGATGAGGCTGATGATGATACTGATGATCATGATGATGGTATTGATGATGATGATGAGTAGGCGGAGGAGGAGGCGTAGTTAGAGAGAATATGATCGCAATCTCTCTGTTCATATTCTTGTGTTCCTGACGTTGTTTTTTCATTATCCCTCCCTCTCCCCCTCATCATTCTTAGCCGTACCGGCTTCGGGTCTGCGACCTTCTTAATTTGTTTGCTTCACCTTGTCGGCCTCGCGCTGCGCGAATGCCTGCGTCCACGAAGAAAGCCGTGAAGACCAAGACTGACAACTGCAGGGATCGCAAACGGGCAGCCTCTATCCAAAACTGGCTCAAGAAACCGTGGGTCAAGCAGTACCTCCAGAAGGCGGCCAAAGTGCACTTGAAAAAATACCACGACACCGTGGGGGCCTTGAGGAAGAGGCAGACGGAGCTCCACAAGGAAGTGAAGGAGAAAAAGAAGGAGAACTTCCACTTGCGCCGTGATGTGTTCGTCCACACGGTTGTTGGGACACTAAGCATGCACCTCTCCGCACAAGCAACACACAAAGCACCGGAGCACATAGCGCAAGCAAGCAGCATTCGATACCATGGAAACGAAAAGCTTCAGCAACCACCAACGTGGCAGCACCGCAACCCCCCCACGCAGCTACGCAACATAACAACACCAGCGAAAGAAACAACAACCACAGTTCAACGACCAACGCAGAAACTTTCTGTTTCCCCACAGCGCGCAGCCGAGAACGCCCGCAAGAACCTGGGCACCGCGAAGGACAAGAACGAGGGCTTGCGCAAGCAGCTGCGGGAGACTCAGGAGGAGCGAGACGACTGGAAGCAGAAAGCACGCACAGCCCGACGGGAGGGCGAGGCGGCCGCTTGGGACGAGGCGGAGCCGGAGAACGAGAGCTTGCGGGCTAGCCTCAAGAAGGCGCAGGCCTTTCGAGGGCGAAAAAACCTACCCCCCCCTCCCCCAGAGCAAAGCCAAACTTGGCGCCCGCCTAGGCGAGCGCCAAGGGGCGACCAAACCTCTCTCCCCAAACTCCATCAAGCGAAGTGCCGCGGCCTCTCCACGGAGAAGAACCGCTTCCTCCAGAACGCTTCCAAGGCGCAGCAGGCGAACTACTACGAGCTCGTGAGGCGGCCGAGAGGCCCCAGGGCGAGCGACCGGGACGGGTGCTTTGGCGCCCAGTAGCCTGCTGCCTCTGCAAACGGCGAATTCGGCCACCGGCCTTGCATGTGCAAGCCTAAAAAACGACAAGCAAGGCGGAAGTGCGATGTCATGAACTTGGGGCCGAATGTGTTTCGATTCGCTTTATCATGAGATGACATGTACTTTGGATTGCTCTTCTCCTGAAGTTCAGCACAACGATGTATACTTCAAACCTGGAAAACGCAGCGGGGGTAAAAACATCTCTGAGCATGACTATATTGTGCACACACTCGTAATGAAGAGGGGCATCCAATATTGGATGCCCCCGTTTGGGAGGAGCCCGCGTCGTCTTTTACTTTCGGGGAGAAAATATTTTTGGTCGGCCCCCGTTCATATTTCCGAATATGGCAGCTATGAGGTTAGAGATGTCAACATGATGGGGTAAAGAAGAAAACACTCCAATATTGGATGCCCCCGTTTTTGAGGAGCTCGCGTTTGGAGGATTCGGTGGTGCTTCGCACTCTCGGGGTGGCGGGGGGGAGTGGTCCTATGTGATTGATGAAGCACAGCGGATGTCAATAACATCGATATTCACAACCACTGTTTCGCACGTCGTTTATCGGCTCAAGCACCCCGTTTGATCGGGTTTTCATTGTGGCAATTTGCGCCCCTTCATATCCCTGCTCTTGCGAACCACAATGGCGCTCGAGTGGGCGTTCGTCACTGACGTCGGCCCTGGCGCTGCCTTGCCGCCTGACACGGCGTGGCGCAAGCTCAGCGCCCGACAGAGCAACCGCGCGGCTGCTGGCCAGGACGGCGAGACGCATTCTGAAATGGAAAAGAATTGCGCCACAGGTTTGTTGCAAACCTGATGCGCGGTACTTTAAGTCTTCTTCGTGCTTCGGAAAAGACAGACATCCGGCGAAGACTGCGCTGGTCGGCTGGTCTTTTCTGCGGCGGAAGCAAGAAGACGGTGTAGATTTCAACAGCCGTTCGGAAAGAAACATAAGGACCGCATCTACTGTTGCATCGGCGGCTGGCCCATCTTCAAGACGTTCCGCAAGGGTTTAGGCCAGTTCCACGCGCCAGGCTTCGCGGGTCCCCTGTGGCACCCAGCTGACCCCGACCTTGAGGACATCATTGTTCGCCCTTCCTTCGACGTTGAGGTGGAGGCCACGTGCGTCGGCTTCAGCATTGCAGTGATGCCCCTATCGCCCGATCGCTGCATCCCTGCATCCGCTTCATTCATCATGATGTGATCAGATCATGAGATCAAGTCCTTATGTGTCTGCGCGCGTGTTCAATCGCGCGCGTGTCTGAATGCACGCGCGCATGTTTTGTGCATGTGCATAAGTAAATTGCGCGCTTAGACCGTGCAGTTATCGCGTCGTCGGCACAATCGGGCGTCGATCGCCCGGGCCCTTTCTGATTGGCGGTCCGATGACAGACTTGCTAAGGCCCGCACTTGCGACGTAAGCTTCATCACCCATGACGGCGCCACGACCACTGTGACGGATATCAGTTGGAGCGCAACCTGGAAGTACGTGGAGAGCCGCGTCCAGGCGGGCCTCGGCTTGCCCCCGCATCGCCGCATTCTGTTTGAGGCGGCGGCCTCATAATCGCATCGGTCAGATCTGGTGATCGCAGCCGCCGCGAACCGACGGTGTATCTCGGTCGGTCGCGCAGATAGGTGATCGCGGGCATTGCGGTCGTTTCGCCATCGCTCCAGCTGCGGCGGGGATCGCTCGCGGTGTCGGGCGTTAGTAAGCATCTGAGGTGGACGGAGATGAGCCGAGTGGCCGCATGAGGGTCGGCCCGAGTTTTGGATTTCGTTCGGTCCGCGGCCGGTTTGCATGAGAGCGCCGCTTCGGAGGTCGATCTGCCGCCCCCGAGTTACAACCGTCCGTCAGACTCGACGGCATAGCCAGGCCCGCGACAATTGTCTGGCAACCAGCTTGCAACCATCGGCCAATGGAATAAACCGAGTTCGTCACAATGGCAGTCGTTGTCACCCCTTCCCGCCCTCTCTCACTCTCTCTCTCTCTCTCTCTCTCTCTCTCTCTCTCTCTCTCTCTCTCTCTCTCTCTCTCTCTCTCTCTCTCTCTCTCTCTCTCCCCCTCCTTCTCTTCTCCTCTTCTCTCTCTCTCCTCTCTTCCCCCTCTCTTCTCTCCTCTCTCTCTCTCTCTCTCTCTCTCTCTCTCTCTCTCTCTCTCTCTCTCTCCCTCTCTCTCTCTCTCTCTCTCTCTCTCCTCTCTCTCTCTCTCTCATCTCTCTCGTCTCTTCTCTCTCTCTCTCTCTCTCGCTCTCTCTCCTCTCTCTCTCTCGCTCTCTCATCTCTCCTCTCTCTCTCTCTCTCTCTCTCTCTCTCTCTGCTCTCTCTCTCTCTCTCTCTCTCTCTCTCTCTCTCTCTCTCTCTCTCTCTCTCTCTCTCTCTCTCTCTCCTCTCTCTTCTCTCTCTCTCTCTCTCTCTCTCTCTCTCTCTCTCTCTCTCTCTCTCTCTCTCTCTCTCTCTCTCTCTCTCTCTCTCTCTCTCTCTCTCTCCTGTCTCTCCCTCTCTCTGTCTCTAGGTGATTTTGGCTCAGACTGCGCCCTCCGCAATCGCATCTACGCCAAACTCTGACTCTCGAGTCTGGTAGCACCAAATGGCGCCTGTCCGCGCTTTCTCGCCATCGCGCGCACTCTCGCAGGATACTTCTCGGCTGATCGTGAAGAACACGTTCCTCGACGTGCCAGAGGACGCCGCCCGTCCCCCGCGGCGCAGCGCATCTGTTCCTGCGCGGGGCGGCAGGGATGCCGACGACCCGATGGCGGGCGGGCTTGCGCCCGGCCAGGCCTCGCCGCGCCCCGAGGAACGCACCCCCAGCGGTCGTGCTTATCCGATCTCCAGGGCCTCCCACTCGAGGCTGGTGAAAGAGTTGACGCACATCAACTCCACGCTCACTCCTGCGCGGGGCTACGCGCAGATGCCAGTTGGCAATTCTTCCTTCAAAACAAAAAGCGTCAACTGGCAGGTGCCGCCCCGCGCCGCGGTGGCCTGGCACGTGCTGGTTCATTCCGCGGGCTCTGGCAGCGTCGCACTCAGAGCCCCCGCGGCGCAGGGGGGGCGCCGCGCCGATCGCCAATCGGCCGTCAGAGGCGCACTGTGTCGAGGCACCAGGTATACGACAATCCTACTGACATCGAGAACCTCGACTCGATCGTCAAAGACTTCGCGAGGCCAGGCTTCTGCGAGCCCGCGCGCGCGCCCCCCTGGCGCCGCTCCGCTGTTCGCAGGTCCAAGACAGACCGCGGCTCGCACTCCGCGAGCGAGCGGCAGGCCGCCGTGCACGCGGCGGAGTCTACCCAGGAGCCGCCTTGCGGTGCATCCGCGATAACATCCTGGACAACAAGGAGGGCAAGATGTGTCTTCACTGCTGCAAAGGTTTGGCGGCTGGGAATCAACGCAAACACGCTCGCTGCAGACGGGGGGAGGGAGCTTGGGGATGAGGGGTCGCGAGGTTGGCGGGCGTGGCCGTTGATTCCCACTGCACCTAGAGGTAGACTCGGCTATCTTCGCAAGGTGAAAGGCCGCGGCCTTCGGTGCAGGTGCAACCGCAAGGGCTGTCAGAAGTTCACTGTTCCACATGCTCATCACCCCGTCTTCTCTACTGGGTGGGGGGCCACGCATTCGCCTTTCAAGAAGCAGGTGGCCATCTTGTTCAGCATTCTAGCAGGAGGAAGCAATCCCACGATTCGCAGATTGATCTCTTCCGCAAACCACAAGGCGATCGAAAGGATCTCGATTGCCGTGAAGAAGCAGCGCGAGAAGTTTGTCAAGAAGCGAGAGAAGACGATCGTTTTCGGGGTTGGCAACGACCGCGACTGGAGGGACGCTGAAGCAGATGAAGCAGTCTTTGAAAGGGCAGCCAAGGCGGACGACCCCGAGAGCGTGGAATGGGAGCAATGGGCGGGCATCGTGGAGCGAGGCCGGCCCGAGTCGCTGGTGCTGGCGAAGACTACCGCGGCTCCCACGGTGAAGAGGGCTCCTGGGCCAGGCGCAATCAGGAAGGTCGATTGGGCGCCTCTGGCAAACCGCTACTTGAAAGGTAGGCGCATTATTTTGCATACGGACCGCGCTAAGAGCTACGCCATGCGAGTTGAGGGAGTGTTGCACGATTCAGTGCGGCACTGCAAAAAGAGAGTGAACAAGAATGGAAAGTGGGTGTGGATGAAGCCGTGCTACGCGCGCTTGGCAACTCATAAGCTTCCATGTGGTAGGAAGTTGCGCACCAAGGCCGGCTCCCAGGTTATCGACAGCGCTTGGAAATACATCCGCTCAACCTTGGGTGGCCAGACAATGGTGCCCAATTCTGAGACGGCCGCCACTGCAATTCGCAGCGCCCAGTGGCTATACTGGCACACGGGCAAAGACCTTTGGGCCGAGATGGGATCCACGTTCTGTGCCAACTTTTGGCGGAGGTAAATTGTTACTGCAAACTTGGACAGCGATGGTGTCCTCGTACTTCTTTGCTTTGAAAAGGGCTTCAAGGTAGATCTCAGAGGGGGGGGCACGCCATATATATATATATATATATATATATATATATATATATATAATATATCGATTATGTATAGACAGATGATGAATGTATGCATGTATACAGGTATACATACAAATGTATGTGCATGCATGCATGCATGCACGCATGCATGCATGCGTGACTGTATATAGTGATATACATAGATTATATCAGTACGTGTTTTTTTTGTATAACGGAGATGCTACCAAACATGATGCGTGACTGCACCGTTGCTGGCGCCACGGCCTTGCGCGGAAGCAGATGAGCTTGTAACGCCTCATGGGCTGACCCGCAATCCCACCAGCCCTTTAGGGTGTGAGTGGTTTAGAAGGTTTCCTCTTCCAAACCCCCTTCTTACCCTGCGGGGAAATATTTATCACTTTTCCCTATTAAGAAACACCCCCTCCCCCAGGCGACCGCCAGCCAACCATGACCGAAGTTGACCCCCCCCAGCATCCTTGCTAAAATAATGTGAAATCCACTTAGGGGTAAAATCTTTGGTCATGATCGGGGGGGGGGGGCGCGAACACTTCGTATGGTTTTTTGACATGGACGGCGGGGGTGCCCGCAGATTGCCTGCTGTGCGCAGGGCCAGCCTCCGTGTCACATATGCACTTTGAGGCAAAATCTGGCTCATGCGCGGGCACCCCGCGATCACTGTTCATTGGTTTTTGACTGCGAAAGCGGGGGTGTTGACATATTGCCTGCTGTGTGCAGGCCCACCAGACACTATGATGGCCACCCCGCCGCGATTGCGCACTCGTTTTCGACACGGGTGGTGGGGGCCAACACGTTTTCCGATGTGTGCTGCCACGTGCGCAGACGCACCTGGCACTCTCTGCGCGTGCCCCGAACGTGGCGCACCTGGCGCGGCTGGAGCATGCGGCACACATGGCGCACGTGGATCACGTGGCGCACCTGGTGCACAGGGTGTCGCCGGCACGCTTGGGCCACATGGTGCGCCTGGCGCACCTGACGCGCGTGGCGAGCCTGGCACGCGTGGCGTACCTCGCCCAAGCGTTGCGCACATGGGATCTTTTTTGGCTCCCATCAGCTGTCCATCCAAAGACGACTGCTGAACTTGCTGAGACCCGGGTGCTACTTCTGTGTTGGGAGGGCGGGTGGGAGTGAGCGAGACAGCTTGCTGGCGGGGAGGGTGTCTTGACCCTTCCCTCTACCTCCCCCTGGACCTGGACAGGAGGTTTCTCGAGGCGTTGTAGCGTTCAAGATGGCCTCGGCGAGAAGGCCAGAACCACATATGTTAATAAAGGTTTGGCCACATGCTTGCCTCCGTACGGGGGGACACTGCCTGAGTACAACCCCTTCGCTGATCGCACTCCTCCAAGATGGCCCAAGATGGCCCCCGAGGCTCCGAAGAGTGCCCCAAGAAGGCCCCAAGAGGGGCCCAGGAAGCCCTAAGAGGCCCCAAAGAGGTTCCCAATCTACTTCCAAGAGACCCACAAAAAGCTCCCCCGAGGCACCCAAGACACTCCAATAGGCCCCCGGGACCGCCAGGCGGCCCGATAGCCTCAAGAAAACTCCAACCAAAAAGCTCTCGAGAGACATCCGAAGCGACTCCGAGAGGTATCCAAGAGGCCTCTGGCCTATCTGCTCGCCCTCCTCTTCCTCTTCGTCCTCTTCCTCCTCGTCCCCATCCGCCTGTTACTCTTCGTCCTCCTCCCTCCTCCCTCCTCCCTCCCCCTCCTTCTCCTCCGATTACTGCTCCATCTTCCCCCTCTTGGGCTATGGTGGCTTCCCCAGCCATTTAGTCAACTGCATGCTTCTCCACGTCCCTGGTCAGGGCAATTTTTTTACGACGACATGGGAGCTGTTACGGACTAAACTAGTTCCGCAGGTGGGGTGTCCACGTGTGGCGGGTGCGACCGCAACACCAGCACCTAAGGCCCTGAATGGTACCGCCGTGCCCGCTAAAAAGACTGAATACATTCCTTGCTCGTCGCTGCAGTGTCGAGTCGAGCTGCCTCTTGCCTGCTATGCATGGCCTGACGCTTCAACGGTGCAGCTCGCTATATGCGGGCTGGCATGCGCTGTGCGTTGGAAAACCCTGAAGGGCGGCTCTAAGATGGCCTCGCATTGGCCAAAGCTGAAGACTTACAGACAAACAAAAATCCTGCTATGGCGGGGAACGAAAGAGGGGGGAGGGGAATGCCCCTCATCACCTCCTCCTCGGGGAAAGCAGGCAAGAGGAGGGAGTGAATAGGAGTCTAGCTACGGCTCTGGACGAGGGGGGCCGTAGTGGGGACCTCTTAGGGCACATCATGAGAATAAGAATTCAGCGGCCTCCTCGTCAGCGGCCAGATCATGGGTCTGAACCTCGGGAGCTGCATTATCTGAGGGGAGGTCACTAGTGTGATGTGCGGGGTCCGTCTCAGGAGCTACTGAGGGCCTCGCTGCAGGGAGTATGCCGCCAGATACGAAACGCATCATCCTGTCAATCGTCGAAAGTGGTCCAACCATGTCGATATCTCCTCCTCCAGCCAGCCCGCTGGGGCTGGGCCCAGGCGGTGCTTCGCGATCCCCTCTGAGCGTAGGCCAGCGAGGAGGAGGCTTCTGCCCTGCCAGTCCTTGGCGCCAAGGATGAGCTTGGCTGCGTTCGGGTCGTGAGTCTTGTCGATGCGCAGGAAGGCGACTTCGTTCTGAAGGGTCTCTACGTCGATCAGAGGCTCGAGCTGAGGATCCTCTGGCTGGCATTTCTCGAAGTATTCCTCGATCTCTTTGCGTACTCGACCTCCCGCTTCGCATGTCAATGGCCCCTCCAGCATGGCGAGGGCGAGTGCGGGGGTCGGTGGGCCCAGCATTTTGAGCGCCTCGGTGTCCTTGTTGGTGCGGTAGTTGTTGACCCGTGTCTTGAAGCCCTCGAGCTCCGTCGAGATGTGGGAGACTGTCGGGTGGTTGATTGGTAGCGTCCATGTGTCGGCCACCGTGCACATGATCATCCGTAATTGTGTGTGTTCTGGAGTGTGAGTGTCATCAGCGAGGTGAGCAGCATCTGCATGTTCTTGTCTTTGTTCGTCCACTGCTTGTCGGTGTGCTGCCCTCGGTGAGCTCGTCGTCCGCCTCTGCGCCGGGCACGGCGTGGCTCGTTCTGTTGCTCTTCCACGTCCATGTCGTCGTCCTCCTGGTCCGCTGCTGGTGTCGGTTGGCCCTTGTTGCCCTTGGTCCCCTCGACCTTGCGTCGGCGCTGGGGTGGTTCGTCGGCTTTGGAGTCGTTCCCAGAGGTGCCAGACTTGGTCGAGGACGGTGGCGGGCCTCTCCACGGGGCACGTGCTCCGCGTCGCGGTGCTGCTTTGGGCTGGGCTATGCTCGGCGCCGCTGCTTGTGGCGTGCTGCTGTCCGCTGCTGAGGCCATCAGGTGGAGCTGGTGTGGAGTGGCTAGCTGGTTCTGCTGGTCGTGGAGGTCGCGGTAGTGTTGGCGTGGACGTCAAGGCTGTAGTAGTCGCACTGCTGGTGTCGTGCGTAGGTGGTGGTCGTCGATGTTGCGGCCGTCGAGCTCGTGTTGTAGTTGCTGCTATGGCTGAGGCTCGAATATGTGTGCCCAGCTGAAGCGTCACTGCCTGTCGAATCTCTTGTCGGAGCAGAGCGGTGTCAGATGGTCGCCACAGTGGGGCGGCTAGGAAACGCTCTGGCACTGTCGGTCCGTGCGGGCGCGCCTCCCTCGCCGAGCGAGGCAATGTCTTGAGCCAAGGGCCGCGCGGCGACGGAGGGATGTGCGTGCGAAGGTGGGATCGGAGCTCGTCGATGTCGTAATAGTCTCGCTGACAATCGATGTTGGGGCTAATGTGCTCGAGCGGGCATCGCGTGGCAGTGGTAGGCTGCCATGTGTGCGTGTGTAGAGTGCGATCGATGAAGCATCGCCCTTCAATCCAAGACCGTCGGTGATGGGTCTGGCAATATTTAATAGAACCATCTACATTATCACAAACCAAGCCTTTGTTGTCGAGAGTGATCGATGATATAATCGTGGGGGCTCCGTGTCCTGGGAGTGCTGCTGTTGTTTGATGTGCGACAAGTGCAGAGAAAGTGCGGAAGGCCTTGAGGCAGCCCTCGATGTTGCATACGAACGGGTTCGGATCCTCGGGGTCGCTGTCGGGGTCTCCCAGGGGGGTCTCGGGTGGCAAGTAATGGTGACCTGGCGGGGCCCAAGACTGCGATACATACGCTTGTCGTAAGTAGCTGAAATCGATATGCTGGAATGCCTCCTGGATCTCGGGGTCCCTGAAAATCTTCCGAATGTCGTCGCCGATGTCCCAGAGGCCACAGAGGTCGTCGCTGATGGGGGCTGCAAGGGCACTGAGGAGGTCCTCGCGGAGCTGGCGGGCCCAAGGGTGTACTTTAGGGTCCGTGTTGAGTGAGCCTGACTCGGTGAGGGTGTTGGCGGAGGTGGGGAGGCCTTGCGAAGCATAACGATCTTCAATCTGGCACCGTCCGAAGAACCCTGGGAGAAATTGCTCATGATGCTCTGCCTCTTTACTGATACTCTGCCACCATTTCAAACGGCGAACGCATAGTTCAAGAGACGCGGGGGCGATGCCCCGGACAATGATGCTGGCCGCCACTGTCGATGCAATGTGCATCGCCCATGAGCATGCATCGTAGTTTTTTTTTTTTTTTTTTTTTTTTTTTTTTTTTTTTTTTTTTTTTTTTTTTTTTTTTTTTTTTTTTTTTTTTTTTTTTTTCGAGGCTCGCATCGATCCGTGCCGTCTGGGCACGGGTGAGTACAAGTGCTTCCAGGCCTGACCATGCACGGCTCGCAACATTGGCGAGAAAGACGAGGCGTTTGCAGCGTCTTGGTGTGGCTGAGGTCCAAAAATGAGTAAGCCGTGTCCAGCCCATGTTACAGGCTCGAATCCGTTCCTCCACCTCACGGGTGTTGTAGCCATCG